GGTTGACTACAGAGTGGCATGTCCTCTGGGCATTTACTGGTAGCCACCAGGACAGAGGCCTGGCGCAGCCCAGAGGCCACTCCCATCTCGTGCCAGGGACAGTGTCCTCACCTTGAGAAGCCTGGTTTGCTCCTTAAAATCTTCATCTTCGTCTGACTCTGCATCAGGTAAGTGGTAGATTTTGATGCTATGCTCTTCGATCTCATCTAGAATCTGAGAGAGTAAGCAGACCAGGGCAGTCAGCAGCTGCACACGGCTCCAGCAGCTCCTCAGGCCGAGATGTTGCCCAAATGCCACACAGAATCACTTTCCAGCAACTTTACGAGCTGTCGGAAAGGAGGGTCCACATGGCTTTCAGAGAACCCTCCTCTGACAGACCATCCCCAGCCAGCACCTTGCCATCAAACACGTGTTGCCCTCCTGCCGGCTGGCCCCAAACCAAGTCAGGCAGAACTGCAGGGCAGGGTGCTGCAGGTGCAGTGAGTAGGCGGTGCCTGAGGGCCCCTGGAGGAAAGACATGGGCCCGTCTGGCTAGAACGAGACTCCTGGCTAGTGAGGGGCAAAGGCAAGAAACCAAACCATCTGTGTCAGCAATGGAGGGTTGGCTGGGCTCCAGACCAGGAGTAGGACGTTGCTCAGGGAGCAACAAGCTGGCAGTGGGGACCACAGTCTGCACTATCACCCATGCGGGCGGGCAGGAGGCAACATCGCTCGAACAGGAGCAGAACCCACTCACCCTTGCATGGGGAACGGGTCCAAGGCCCACTGGCAGGCTGCAACTCTGCTCCCAGAGCTAGCCATTGGGGGGGCGCAGAAGATACCCAACCTCACCCTCTGGTCATGAAGGAGGACGTTGCATAGGACCTTCCAAGCTCCACATGATCAAAGACAACCCACCTCCTGTTGCAGGCCACACCAGGAAGACCCCCTACCTCACACCCTACAGCCCGCTCTCATTCTAGGGAGTGGGGACCATGCAGTCGGGGCTTTCTGCTCCCAGGCCCTCATGCCCGCCGGCCCTGCCGTCTACATGGCCTCTGCTGACCCAAGATTCAGCTTTGTGGGGGCAGAGTGGAGAGCGGACTGCTTCTGATGTGCTGAACTCAAGAGCATTTAAGCCTGGGCTGGGGTAGGAACTGGGGGGGCCTGTGTGCAGAGAGCCTGCAGACACGCTCCTTTCTGGGTTAGACAATACGTGTCTACAGGAGCAGGAACAGAACCTCCACTTGGGCAAACTCGATGGCATGGGGCTGTTGTAGGGACACCCCCCCACACACACACACTCTGCAGCCCCAGGAAAGCAAGTCTGAAAGTAACTGCCAGCCAGCTGGATGCTAGGGTTTGTGAAGGACACCCAGCCAACCCAGAGCAGCCCAAGGACCCGCCCCCAGGCAGGCTGTAGCTCACCCTCTTCTTCAGGCGCTCCCGCTCCTTCAGCGTCAGGGTGTCAGCCTTGGCGATGACGGGCACAATGTTCACCTTGTTGTGGATGGCCTTCATGAAGGCCACGTCCAGGGGCTTCAGCCTGCACCCGGGAGCACACCGGAGAGGAGAGGAGA